CCACTACACTATCGCCTGGGCATAATTCTGTCAGAATATGTTGGTTTTTCGGAGTTAGCTTGATGACTCAGGATTCTATTTTAAATTTTAGAAGACATCAAACTGGTAAATTTTAGAAATAGAATCTGTCAAGTTATGGAACATAATCATTGTTGCTGAATTGTGTGGATGACAGTCTTCTCTCGTTCCTGTTTCTGAGATCGCCTTTAGCGTATGAAGCAATACACATCTCCCCCACCTTCCCCCCTCTCACTCTCTCTTTCTCTCTCTCTCTCTCCCCCCTCACTATTTTTCTCTTTACATTGATAGGATGAGTGGGTGGTGTAAAGAAAGCGGCTCAGAAGGAGAAATCGGGCAGCTGAGTTCGAATTGCAGTCAGGTTTGTTACATTCACTTACACTTGGGAAACGTATGAATCTATCTCTACCCCACCACCTATGGATTAAATAGTAGGACATGTCTAGAAATATCATTGTTATTTCTCAAAAATAAAATACTAGTGCATTATTCACTCTCGAAATAAAATTATGTTTTGGCTTTAAATAACACTCGAAATATTGATAGAACGGGAGGCGATACCATTATCAGTTACTATTCACTATTACACATGTTCTCTATCTATATGACATTATATATATATATATATATATATATATATGTTGTGGTAGGATCCACCTAATTTGCATCGTGGAGTACCTACCATATAAATATGGTTGGTACCGGGAAGAGAGGAAGGAATCAAGAGATTCAACCAGAGACTCTGCCCGACTGCGACTCAGTCAACACATTCTCCAGGAACGGTATTCCCAGGAATATACAAAAGACTATATGTAAATATTGTGTACACTTTCTTGTTTCAATACATTTTGTTCTAAGTACATTTTTGTGTTGCATTATTATTCCATGCATTAGTCAAGTTTCAAATAATATATATATATATATATATATATATATATATATATATATATATATATATATATATATAATAATAATAATAATAATAATAATGATAATAATTAAAAAAAAAGGTTAAACACTAATATTCCATGGTTATAATTTATTACATTGGAATCGTAAATACGATCCAATTCATCAGAACTACAAATTCAAAAAGAAATCCGAAGAAATAACTCCGGGATTAAAAAATAAAATTTAGTGAGAGTGTATGTATGAGAGTGTGGGACAAATGTGAGAGGTAAAAGATTCTATCCTTTTGGAATTTTAATATATATATTTGTATATGTATATATGTATATGTATGTATTTATATATATTTTATATATATATATATATATATATATATATATATATATATATATATATATATATATATATATATGTATGTGTATAGTAACCACTAATATTATCAATATATATATATATGGTGAGAAACAGAAAAATGTCCATATTGTATAACAGCATAACTGTCCATTTCCCCAAAATGTTTAATATCTATAAAAACATTAAACTAATTGAAATTCTTTTTGCCAGGTTTTCGCATAAGACGTTTAGCTATCTTGTCACCATTTGTCGTAAGAATTACTGAAAAATCTTTTGAGCTATTCAGCTAGAAAGAATATAGTTTAAAATCGTTTTGTGTCAGAGCCATTGTCTTTCTAAATGAGCAATGTTGTGAGGAAAAAGATCATTCAGGCCTTCAGTAATGGTATCAACATTCATACTCTGGCTTCCATCTTCAAATTCCATTCAAGAACCACGCAAACAACGGCAAATAAATCTTAAAAAATGGAACAGTAGAGAAAAAACTGGATCAGGAGTCCACATGAGGAAGAAGGGTCATCATTTCAACTTAGAGCTTACGAGATCAATTAGAAAAGATCTATCTCAATCCATCAGACGTTTGGCATGTGAGAGAGGAGTTTCAGCTATGACAGTTCAAAGAGCAGTGAAAAAAAACTTGAAAATGAAATTGTACATGAAACGTGAGAGTACCTTTGTTACTCCAGGGCAGAAAGTTAGAATGTTAGAGAGGGCAAAGTTCATCTCGAATAAGATGGGAAGTAATCCTGGAATTAACTTCATGTGCTTCCGATACTTAGCTATGATTAATCATTAATTAATGATGAACATGTTAGTTTTGTTTATGATCGATTTTATCATGATTCTTCTGTTAAGAGTAATTATATATTCTTATTGAACAGTCCGATAGTATTATAAAAATCTCGGAGAATTCCAGTAAGATATGTTTAATCATTTTACGATATAACGGTTCAAATCTTATTCTAGCAATTGGACAATTTTACTTTTTACACGATTTGGACAATTTTGCTGTTATACCGGTATATATATATATATATATATATATATATATATATATATATATATATATATATAGAGAGAGAGAGAGAGAGAGAGAGAGAGAGAAAAAGAGGCAGAGGTGGATAATGAACAGATTGGCAAAGGAGATACCTATATAGATTGATAGTGAACATATTGCGAAGATCGTTGGATGTTCATAATCACCTAATAATTTTATGCC